ATACGGATCCCAATGTGGAGTCCCTAGATGGATCCCGATGGGGAAACCAAATACGGATCCCAATGGGAAAACCGATTACGGATCCCAATTGAGAAACCGAATACGGATCCCGATGGGGATTCCATAGGCGGATCCCGATGGGAAAACCGAAAACGGATCCCAATGGGGAGTCCCTAGACGGATCCCGATGGGAAAACTTAATACGGATCCCGATGGGGAAACCGAATACAGATCCCGATGGGGATTCTGTAGACGGATTCAGATGGGAAAACCGAATACGAATCCCGATGGGGAAACCGAATACGGATCCCGATGGGGAAACCGAATACGGGTCCTGGGCATTCCGTAGACGGATCCCAATGGGGATTCCGTAGATGGATCCCGATGGGAATTACGTTGACGGATCCCGTTGGGGATTGCGTAAACAAATTTTGATGGGGAAACCGAATACGGAACCCGATGGGGATTCCGAATACGGATCCCGATGGGGATTCCGTAAACGGATCCCGATGGGAAAACCGAATACAGGTTCCGATGGGGATTGTGTAAACGGGTCCCGATGAGAATTCCGTAAACAGATCCCGATGGGGATTCCATAGACCGATCCCGATGGGGATTCCGTTGACGGATCCCGATGGAGAATCCAAGTACAGATCTCGATAGGGAATACAAGTAAGGATCCCGATGGGTATTCCGTAGACGAATCCCGATGGGGATTTCGTAAACGGATCCCAATGGGGATTCCGTAGATGGATACCTATGGGGATTGCGTAGATGGATCCTTATGGAGATTCCGTAGATGGATCCCGATGGGGATTCAGTAGATGGATCCCGATGGGAATTTCGTAGACGGATCCTGATGGGGATTCCGTAGACGGATCCCGATGGGGATTCCGTAGACGGATCCCGATGAGGATCCCGAGTGGAATACTGTAACCCAAATACGGGTACCGATGGGGATTCTGTAAACGGATCCCGATGGGGATTCTGAAAACGGATCCCGATGGGGAATCAGATTCCGGATCCCGATTATGAATCCGATTCCGGATCTCGATAGGTAATCAGATTCTGGATCCCGATTGGGAATCCGATTCCGGATCCCGATAATGAATCCGATTCCAGATCTCGATAGGTAATCAGATTCTGGATCCCGATTAGGAATCCGATTCCGGATCCCGATAGGGAATCCGATTCCGGGTCCCGATAGGAAATCCGATTCCGGATCCCGATAGGGAATCCGATTCTGGATCCCTGTATGGAATCCAATTCCGGATAACGATAGGGATTCCGATTTCGGGTCCCGATAGGGATTTCGATTTCGGGTCCCGATAGGGATTCCGATTTCGGGTCCCGATAGGGAATTCGATTCCAGGTCCCGATAGGGAATCCGATTTCGGGTCCCGATAGGGCATCCGATCCTGGATCCCGAAGAGGAAAGCGAATACGGATCCCGATAGGGAAATCGATTCCGGATCCCGATAGCGAATCTAATTTCGGATCCCGATACCGAATTCAATTTTGGATCACGATACCGAATCCAATTCCGGATCCCGATAGGGAATCCGATTTCGGATATCGATAGGGAATCCGATCCCGGATCCCGATGGGGAATCCGAACACGGATTCCGATGAGGAATCTGAAATCGAATTCCGATGAAGAATCTGATATCAGAGTCCAATGGGGAATCTGAAATCGGATCCCGAAAGGGAGATAAAGATAAAATCAAGTTGAGTTGAAATTAAGTCAAAGTTACATTAAAGTTAAGTTAAAGTTTAAGGAAGGTTAAGAAAAAGTTTAGTCAAATTAAATTCACGACTGACCCAAGTGCGTTAAAGTGACTATAAAAATGATAATATTAATTTAAAAAAAACGATCTTGTTATGATAAAGTGAACAAAGTAAACTTAACCCTCCGTTACTCGCGCTGTTGTACTTTGTACAACACACATGAGTTTTCCATTGTCATTTTGTTGCTGAGTTACCAATCGATCTGAAACCAACGAGTATTCCTTAAAAAACTTGTTTTGATCTAAACAAGCTAAACTTTGATTACAGTAAGCACCTAAAAAATGCGGATAATGGCGAAAATTTAAATGGAAACCGCGTAAGCTGTGACCATACTACGTGGGATTTGACTTAATTGATTACAACATGGAATATATCGAGATCCTGACCAGATAGAAAGTTACTGTCTCCGACAAAGTTGTTCAGGAGATCATAGCCTTGTCGCTGGCTGACAGTAGTTCAGAATTTTCTCACTTCATGGTGCTAGCATACATGTGAAATTCTCGCATTTAAAATATCCCAAGTTCTTGACCAGACAGAAAATTATTGTCGTCGGCAAAGTTGTTCAGGATATCATAAAATGTTTGCACAACAAGAGTTCTTCAAAGATTTAAACTTCCTAAAAAACTTAGCCGAAGACAGTAACTTTTTATCTGGTAAGAATTTAGATATATTTTATATTTGCAAGAATTTTACATGTATACTAGCGCCGCCAAGTGAGAAAACTCTGAACTACTGTCCACCATAAAAAATCCCATGACCTTCTGAGCAACTATCTATCTGGTCAGGATCTCGAGATATTTTATATGAGAATTTCACGTGTATACTAGCGCCGCGTATTGAGAAAATTTTGAACTATTGTGCACCATGAAATAGGCTTTGATCTCATCAACAACTTTGTCGACGACAGTAACTTTCTATCTGGTCATGACCTCGAGATATATCACATGCGATAATTTCCCATGTATTCTAGCGCTACGTAGTGAGAAAACTTTGAACTACTCTCCACCAGCGAAAAAGTTGTGGTCTCTTGAGCAACTTTGCCCAAGACAGTAACTTTCTATCTTGTCAAGATCTCGAGATTTTCCATGTTGTAACCAATTAAGTCAAATACCACGTAGTACGGACACCTTTTACGCGGTTTCCATTCACATTTTCTCTATTATCCGCACTTTTTGGGGGTTAACTGTGATAAAAGTTGAGCTTGTTTAGTAAAAAAACAAGTTTTTTAAGGAATACCCGTTAGTTTCATATCGATTGGTAGCTCGGCTGCAAAATGGCAATGGAAACCTCTCTCTGTTGTACAAAGTACAACGCGCGATTACTCGTGTTACAAAAGATGGCGCGAGTAACGAAGGGTTAAAATTAATAAATAAAAGCAAAAGTTTAGTTAAAGCTGCATTTAAGTTAAGTTAGTTAGTAAAATATTAGTAAAAATTAGGCAAAAGTTTTATTAAAGATAAAATCGAGTTTAGTTCAAATTAAGTAAAATTTCAGTGGAGGTTTCGTTTATGTTAACGATACATTAAAGTTAACCTAATGTAATGATGTAGTTAAATTAAAAATTTGGTAAAATTCAGTAAAAGATAAATTTAAATTAAGTAAAACTTAAAGTTATGTTAAGTTAATAATATTAAGGTTCATTAAAGTTAAGTTAAAGAATAGTAAAAGTAATGTTAAAGTTATTTCCAGAGATCTTCAGGGAAACTTCTGGAAAATTCTTGGAATTACTTGAAACTTGATGCTACTTGGAAGTTTTTTTAAGCTAAGATTTCGTCAAAATTAAGTTAAGTTAATTTGTTAAAGTGTTAAAGTTGTTTTAAAGATAATTACATGTTAAATAAAGCTTATTACTTAAAGTTTAATCAAACAAAGTAAAAGTTTAGCTAGAGATAAACTCAAGATAAGTTAAGGCACAGACAAACAGACATAACACATTGAATAATTCACAATGTAAATAATCGCCGCTAAAACATTACCGCCATCTGTTGAGTACACTGTGGTGGGCACTACGCTGAACAGATGGCGGTAGTGTGTAAACGTCAAACGCAAGAGAATAGACTATGAGCACCACAGGTGGCGGCACTACCACCTACGATACTTTTAAATTGTCCGTTAAATGCTTGTTCGATGAACAACTTGCGAGCATTATGTCTGTTTGTCTGTGTTTAAGATGTCAGAAATGCCGGGATGGGTATTTTACAAAAAATCGCAGCTTGCTCTATGGCCGGCACAATCGGCATATCTGCGGCACATTTGCAGCACACAGACAAAAAAGATGACCCAAGATTGGTGTGTGGAGTGACCTACCCCTTGTATCAAGATCAGTTTCTGTAACGAAATTATAATTTTTTTTTTCAGAGGTATAAAATCTCTGATAACAACTTCCTTCGGAAGGGAAGTAACGCCTTTGGTCCCCTGTCCATGAGTTGATGGGTCGATAGGTAGGGTCCAGGTGTGGGAGCATTGGTACTCAGTACGGAAAACAAGATCGCCGGAAAAACAAATCAAGGACCGCAAACAAAAGTTATTAATTGAAGAATGAAAATGAAAGCAAAATAAAGTTCGCTTGCCGAACCGTCTTTAAAAGACGTTGAAATAACACATATTCAGCGGCGCCGGTGGTGTAGTGGTAAGCGTGATTGCCTCTTTCGCCCCAATGGGCCTGGGTTCAATCCCAGTCGGCGCCGTCGGGATTTTCTGAGGCATAAAATCTCTGGTCACGCCTTCCTTCGGAAGGGAAGTAAAGCCGTTGGTCCTCGGTCCATAAGTTGATGGGTCGGTTAGCTAGGGTTCAGGGTGGGAGCTGCCTCCCTGACGTCGGTAGCATTGGTACTTCAGTACGGAAAACAAGATCGACGGAAAACACATCGAGAAATCGAAATAACATATGGTCACAAAATTGCATTAACCGACATATCTAATTTTACCCCGATTCCCCAGTGTGGAACATGTTCCCAATACACTCGAAAGACGACGCCTGAAGTCCAGAGAATAATTCTAAACACAGCGACAGACAGATAGACGCATCCAATTTTTAAGTGTAAACTAACTGACGCAAGTCAGTTGCCCTTCTAATTTCTCTGTACGAGTAACGAAGATAGAACTTTAGTTATAGGCAACCTAGGCACCATCACAAGCCGATCCCATCATCGTCCAGACAAGCGGCGAACTGAACGAGGCTGTTATAAAACTCACGTGGCTTGAAATGTGACCCCTCACCGTCGTTTTAGTTGAGGGTGGTGGTGGGCCGGTAGTGACTGTGTAACAATCTCCGGTTAAGGCCGATTCATCTAACTGCTACTGAGAGGTGAAGTGTAGGCCGTTAGAATCGATGGAACTCGAGGAGCATTTGTAGCCAGCTATCGCATTCAGTCACTAGTCACCGCTTGTCGTGTTCGGATTCAATTTTCCGTCGTTAGCTACAACACCATAAACAATTGATGTGATGTGATCATGTGTTAAAGGATATTTTTTGATAAATAAAAACATATTTATCTGTGATTTATTTTCGTATTTCATTGAGAGTAATTAATAGTTCGCAACTTCTGAAGGCTGTCGCCGCACATGTTTACGTGTGTGATTGTTGAAAACGGTACATGCCACTAGTTTCTAATCAGAGCATGTGTGTGAAAAACCTCGTTGTGAATGGAGATAATGCAATGCAATGCATATGCTTATTTACTGAGGGTGCATTACACTGTGTCACAGTTTCATGCGATATAGAAGAGCGACATTTTTGTTACAATCGGTGCCAATTTACTGGAAGAAATTGAAGAAATTTGGTGCAACTCGAAAAAAAACTTAAAGCAGAGCAGAGCTACTAAACCAATAACAATTCCTACAAGGCAATAAGGCTGTGATATCTGTTATAAAAAAGTAGAAGAAGAAGAAGAAGTGAATACAACATTTGAAAAATTCCAAAGCTACCTAAATAGTTTTGAATGAAAAGGAATCAGTTGACGGAAAGTGAGGAGGAAGAACATAACCCTACAGCAACAGATAGTAGAGTAACCTGCTGGAAGAAGACCGATAGTGGCGGGGGGGAAAGCGCAGAATATCCGTACGGCCACATTCGACGGGGTGTCATCGGTCGACTGAACGTCGTCATGAGTGCCACCGGGATGGAAAACATGGAGGGAGCCGAGTCGACACACAATACCAAAATTTCCGACTCGGGTTACTCCAACAGCTGCAGCAACAGCCAGTCCCAGAGGAGGTAAGCGCTCAAAGGGGATTAGTCGATGGACTCAGGGTGGTTCTAAAATGCTGGAAGGTTGGGAATTTTATAATGTTCATAAGCTCCTCACATGTTGGGCCACATTCTACAAAAATGGCTGATATGTACGTTCAAGAAGAGCAGAACCTGTTAGAACAAATTCAAACAGCAAGTTATAGGTAATTTTAATTTACTACAATTCTCGATTACTTATTCAAAGGGACGTATCTGCTTTGGTAAACAAAGGTTCAAACGTCAATTTGTCGAAACTCTTAGCGCAGGCACGCAAACTAACAACTCCATCTTGTTGGGAAAACTTTACCTTTTCTGATGGTGGTATTTGTTTGCGTGGGAGTGCCAAGAGTTTTGACAAATTGACGCTTGAATCTAAATTTACGTCCCTTCAAAAAAGTCACCTTGAACTAGCTTGTTTCAAACTGTTCAAGCTGTATTGCAATTCTGATTTCCTGAGCGCAAGAACCGTATGATATTTTAAACAATATCTTGTGGCAAAAATTCGAAGTACCGAAAATTCTACAGCTAGGATGTCATCCACAAATTATGTAAGGGTTTTTGAGGGATTATTACACGGTTAGAAAAAAGTACCCAAAATTAAGTTCTTTTCACTCATCTCGGCACTATAGTGCAGGAACCCAAAAGTAGGTAAAGCGGGTCAAAGTAATTTTCATTTACTTGTGTGCAGTTCGTATGGAATTTTCCACTGGCTTTTTAACCAAAAGTAAGTTAGTTGTACCCAACAGTAGGTAAATATGATTATACTCAACGTTGGGTTCCCACACTTTACTACCCCTGTTGGGTGGTTTTGCTCCTTCGTTTTTGACAACATTAGAAGGAGAAAGGAGACAAACTAGTCAAAAGTAGGTAAAAGTGAACTTTCCGTTGGGTACTTTTTTCTTACCGTGCAGAGTCCCACCGAGGGGCGCTAAGATGGTTATTTTTTTTTTCTAATGTAATCGCATTTATTTAAAAAAAAAGTTCCAGTGTACCAAAGTTCATGAAATAATTCACTGAAACAAAAACCATAGTTAGGAATACTATTTTGCAGAAAACACTTATTTTCAGTATAACTACGCTTAATATCGTTAAATCTACCATGATTTTAGTATAGTTGACTATAAATATAATCAAATTCACTACCATTCTGTCAAAACTACTATGCGTACTCAAACGGCATAGTAGTTTTGATAGAAAAAATCGTTAAATTAAATGAATTTCGTTTCTGCAAACATCTATTGGTGGGAGTATTTAATTTAAACCATCAATATAGTATTTTTGCCAATGGATTTTGTTTCTGTGTTGGATTTACTGTAGATTACGAATATGCATAATTGCATCGAAAATCATTCAAACGTTACTGTACGTTACGTTTTCCAGTTGCCTCGTGAGAGTTGGGCAATCAAATGTCCAACGCAACAAATCTGAATCACCAATCGAGTCGCAACGGCAGCGGATGGGCACACGTCTAGAACATGTGCTCCGATCACATTGTCGGCACACAGCACATGTTACACAACGGGGAAAGCAAGTCGGTGTCGGTGTCGCTGTCTCGCGGAGAACAATGTGATTTGAGTTAATTTGCAAATTGCCAATACATCTATAGACAGGTACATTTCCTAGGGTATGGGTAAATACAAAATGGAACAAACATATAGGTTTACCACTGCTCACGTTGTGGCACATGCATTGATGAGCTGAGTCGATTTGAGGGTGGTGATGGCGGTGTTACGACTTGATGCATTGAACGACCACGATAATTCATAAACAGAGGAATCGTCATGGATGGCTCTAGCGATGTGGAACTGTATAGCAAGCATTTAAGAATCCAATAATTGTGGTTCAGATGCTAATTGTATGAAACGAAAGCTACAAGGATGACTTTTCAAAAGGACGTATCTGCTTTTGTAAACAAAGGTTCAAACGTCAATTTGTCGAAACTCCTAGCTCGCGCACGCAAGCTAACACTAACATCAGGTAGGGTTATGTTCCCCAACAAGATTGTGGTATTAGTTTTTTTTTTATCGGATTCAAGGGACGATGATATGGACTTGACGAGCCAGATGTGACTCATTGCACAGGTCATGGTAGCCGAAACAGGAGTTACGTTTGTTGTCCGATTATTTTTCGGATAATTGTACGTATACTCACGAGCAGTTCCAGGTAGACTTTTCCGGATCGCAAAGGGCGTAGAAGCTGCAAATATTTATGTTTACAACGACCGGATGCGACCGGCAAGCTAGGCTTGACAACGCTGTAAAAATGCACTGCGGATCCCCAGCTGACGTGATCGATGAATATGCTCGTATGTCCGAAACTGCAGGCTGCACTATTTGCGATCGAACAGGGAGGACATAACTGGATCAACAAAAGAAAAGGGCCCATCAGCATTTGTAAACAAACCGTTGCAAAGCCCATTCCTCACAAATCGAAGGCCGCGCACACAAACCAGCACCATGATCGTGTAGGTGGAAGTATCCCGATGATGGTGTTGGTTTGCGTGGGTGGTCTTCGCTTTGTGAGTAAAGGGCTTTGGAACGGTTTGTTTACAAATGCTTATGGGTTATTAAGTCGGTTGCTGGATGAAGGAGCACGGCCTCCCTGATTGTTGCTACTGGGAACATTGTATCACTGCATCGACTGGGCAATTCAAAGGCATAGGAAAGAAACCGACCAGCTCGAAGCAGTTGCGTCTTCGACATGGTCTGTCATTTTCGGATCTTTTTAGGGACATGAGTCCTCCTTGTACAATTTATTATGAATGGCAGAGCCTACACTGCCGGATACTACCTCACGGATGGTATCTATCCTCCCTTTTCTACATCAGTTCAGACGATTTCGTCACCATTTGGGCAAAAGTGAAAAGTGAGTTTTTTTATTTTATTTGAAACAATCGTAACCTTGCCTGTTATAATCGTCGTCATCGTCGCCAGCAAGGCAATTTTGTGGCGATTTGGGCAAATTTTATTCCGCTGTTGATTGTTGCAGTATTTTTTCCTGTTCCATTTTGAAATATTGTTTGGCGATTTCGCTTAAGGCGGAAAAATTGACCGACATGACGGCGTGGTTCACCATCCTGTTAATGACCTGTGTCCTCTCTTTGACCAAAACTGCCTTTTCTTTGGCTGCTTCTGCTAGCAGGTTGCCGGCCCTAGCCATCTGCATTCCTGCGTGGGCAAAATTTCCTCGAAGCTGTTGCTGGTTTCTGGATGGTTTTTGACTCATTGGCCGACTAGATGATGACGAAGGTGCAATAGCAGCTAAGTCAGCACCCTCTTCTTCGCAATTTTCTTCCGATCGTCTATACTTCGAAGAGTCGGCTGCCGGGACCTGAGATTAGAAAAAAGCAATCGGAAACAATAAGATGATGATACTATACTGAAGATCTCAACCTGTCCAACAATTCAAATCATGTCTCTCAAATATTCTCTCATGATACCAGGTGACTTAAAAATAATCTTCAGGTGACCAGAGATATCAAAAAAAAAAAATTTGGGTACATTTTCAAGACATCTTGCTCAAGTATTATTTTGAAGATCTTCAACTGCCCAACAATGCAAATATCCTCTCTCAGATATTCACCCTTGATACCAAGATGATCAGAAATTATTTCAAAAATCAACAGGTGATTAACGATCTCAATGACGTCCTCAAGACATTATTTCAAGTCTTCAGGTTGATCAAGTTTTATTCTGAAAATCTTCATCTGCCCAACAATTTCAATAACGTCTCTCAGACATTGACCGCAAAGGAGTAGGATAACCTTTAGATTGATCAGGTATTATACTGAAGATCTTCAACTGTCCAACAAATTAAATTACGTCTCTCAGATATTCACCCATGATACCAGCATGATCAGAAATTATTTTTAAACCAACAGATGATCAAATTCTCAAGAGACTATTAATACACTATTTTATAGTGTGGCTCAATCAAATTTTCGACCTTGATTATTTGATTGCAATACTTTTCGTGGAGCTTTCATAACATCGTAGTTTTTTTTTTTGCACGATAGGTAGCCGGGTTGAAAGTTCAATAAGTAGGCTTGGCTTCACTGTCTGTATGACTCATTATATACCGATTCTAGAACAACTGAGCTTTCGTTAAATTTTCTATTCTCCCAATCTGTCAAACTTATTATTAAAATAAATTCAAACAGAAGTAACCGAACATCGCTTTACTTAAGTATTACCGAACGCTGTCAAACAAACCGATTCACCAGTTGCAATTACAGAATTCGGTTCTTTTTTAAAGCGTTCCAAATATTAGTTGCTTCGAAATTTTAGAAATAATACCCAGTTTTGTTAAGATGCATGACTTATTTAGACCGCGCATAACTCTAGAAATTGGAAAAGTTGGAAAGCTAGATCTGAACTCTAAAACTGAACTGATTTATTCCTCTATAGAAAAAAATCTATTGGTTTAGACCTGCGTTGCTACTAAAGGCTGACTAAAATTAAATTGGTACGCACAAAAAGACCTGTAATTCGTGATTCAATAAAGTTTAAAAAGTCCATGAATGGTTGCTTTACAGTACTTTTATTAAAACTACAAAGTTACAGCATACGATGGTTACATTTCTCCAGTTCGAACGAAATCTTGAACCTTCCTCTTGATGGAGCCCATCAGCGCCTGCACAGTGCAAATGGACACGGAATTATCGCATTTCTTCCATTTTGGCCGCATTTGTTGGATGTCCTTGACTGCCCCACCGCTTCACCGAAGACGCTGCTTTGAATTTGCCCAGTATTTTTCGATTGGTCGACATTCCGGGCAATTCGGAGGATTCATTAGCTTGGGGACAAAATCGATCTTGTTGGCAGTGGCAGCATACCACTCCAGAACCACCTTGGAGTAGTGGCAGCTGGCCAAATCGGGCCTAAAGATGACTTTGTCCCTATGCTTGCGAATGCTTTTTCAGGCATTCTTTGATGTAAACTTGGGATGTCATCGTCGAGGATGTAACGAATGGTTCCGTTTTCAGGCCACAACTGCAAATCGCTTGCCAAATCATGACCTTCTTCGGCAAACACGAACTTGAATCTTCCCGGCACATCCCCATGTTCAGTCGCGATGTAAAACTTTTGACCGGAAAGCTGCATAAAATCGAGTTTGACGTATGTTTCGTCATCGATCAAAGTGCAGCCCTTGTGTTTCGTCAAAACACGGTTAAGCGAAACATCGTTCGATCCCAACAGGAAACCGCCAACGCTCAGTCAGCATCGAAAAAGCTGCTGTCAAACAACCGGTACACCATTCTCGAAAATGGTGTGAACCGTAAAAAAAAAGAAAAAGGAGAAACTACCCCCTTCTTCGTCAAGGGATTCCCGCCCGGGTTTCGGAAGAACACTACGAATACTACATCAAGAAAGGCTTGAGGACTGCTGAAGCAGAAAAGTGGGAATATTTCTCACACGATGTCGCGGAGGACAAGCCGCTCAAGGTGGTCCTACGTGGTCCTGCCCGACTTGGAAATCATCGCGCTGTCGGATGAGCTGAAGATGAACGGCCTAAAGCCGTCGCAAGTCTTCGAGATGAATCGGCACGACGCCTCCCGTTAGTACCGTGACCAGCTGTATTTGGTCCACCTCGAGCGAAACACAACGTGTTTGAAAGACCTGCAGTATATTCGGGCGCTTTTCCACATCGTGGTTAAGTGGGAACGCTACCAACCTCGCCCCCGTAACGTCACCCAATGCTCAAACTGCCCCATGTTTGGGCACGGGACTAAAAATTGCCACATGGCTCATCGCTGCAACGAATGTGCGGCAACGGTTTCTTTCCCTCCCCCGGGACTATCGTGGCGTCGAGATGACGCCCCACCAACGAACAAAAACGAAGAGCTGCTCACAACAGTGGAACTCATAACCTTCATGGCAGAAGCAATCGTCATCAAGCGCTCCTGCAGAACCAGAACCGAGCAAATTCTTGCTGCATCACGTTTCATCGATAATTATGGACCGTGAAGCCATCAAGCTCACCAACTGGAACGCTTGCTCGCTTAATAGCAAGAACATCGAGTTCGTTAACTTCCTCAACGAACGAAACATCGACATTGCCGTCATCACTGAAACCCACCTGAAACCGGAGGTAAACGTATTTCGGCTTCTAAGACTTGATCGAACCAGCTCCGGGGGAGGAAGAGGCCATTGCTGTAAGGAGAAACATCCGCTGTCGGCTTCTGCAGAGCTTCCAGTTGAAAACCATCGAAGCTTTAGGGGTAGAAGTCTCCACTCCTGTCGGCCGTATCACCACCATTGCGACATACTGCCCCAAGCAAGTCACCATCAGGGACGAGTCGACAGCAGACCTACGGAGGGACATCATCAAACTAACTCGACGGCGCGAAAAGTACATCATCGCGGGCGACCTGAACGCCAAACACCAGGCTTGGGGCGACACTCGACGCAACTAAAACGGCACAATCCTGAACAACGACCTGCAAGAGGCTCGCTACACCATATTAGCGCCGGACTCTCCACCCGGTTGAGCCGGTCTGGCGTACACTCGACCATCGACATATTTACCAGCAACATGGGAGACAACATCTCGCTACCTGTGACCCACCAGAAGCTGAGTTCGGACCACTATCCGGTGGTGGCCAAAGTAGGCTCATCCGTCAACCGATTCCAAGCTACCCGACGCAACTATCATCGTGCCAGCTGGGAGCAGTTCCAACACTGTGTCGACTACGGTGTCCTTCCGGAGACGCCCGAAGACGTTGACCGGTGTCTGCGTTCCATCGTAGGGGCGATATCCCGGGCCAGGGAACAACACGTGCCAGTATCCAGACACGTGAGCAATACTCTGAACCTTGAAAGATCTACCAAAGACCTTATAAGACTCCGTAACACCATCCGAAGGCAGTACCAACGCTCTGGTCTGCCTGTCCTTAAGACCCACTGTAATCGCCTAACAAAAGCCAGGATGGTGGACCTCAGAAATCAGGACTTTGCTAACATGATCCGCTCTCTCCCAGATTGTGCAAAGCCCTTTTGGAAACTAACCAAAATTCTTAAAAATAAGCCAAGACCCATTCCACCACTGACCCCACTGGATCGTTACAGCGACTTCTGGCTTCACTCTTGGCGGTAGATGTAAAATTTTGCTTTATTTGTGATATGTTACGTGGTTAACAATTGCTAATACAGGGCACGAGGTTAGCCAGAAGGGCTCTTCATCTTTGGTGAAATGGTTGATTTTTTGCTTGTACATGTGGTGTTTTACTGTTGTAATGTCTCTTCTTGTGAAGAATGTTTGATTTAAATGTTTTTATTTGTTATTCTACCTACTTAACCTAACATAACGTGCCAGATCCCTGATGATCTGTTGATCGGATTGCCTACAGCCATCCCTGAGCCTTGCGATGGAGTCAGCTCTCTGTAACTCCAGTGTCTGAAGACCAGCCAGGCGGTGGACCTCAGAGTTTCTAGTCCCCGGTGGACTATTGACGATCATTATCAGGATCTTATTCTGGATCCTGTGTAATTTGAGAAGGTGGCTTTTTGCGCAACGCTCCCAGATTGGCATCCCGTATTCTATTACGGGAAGGATGATTTGCTTGTAGACAGCAAGCTTATTTTTCAGGAACAGGGTAGACCTCCTGTTGATGAGTGGATACAACGATCTTATCAAGATATTGCACTTGTTTTTGGTTTTGTCAATGTGCTACCTGAAAATCAGCTTGCTGTCTAATGTAAGGCCTAGGTAGACTACCTCTTTCGACCATTCCACCACTGTGCCGTTCAGGCAGATCTTATTATTCTTCGACGGAACAAGTCTGAGTGTGGAAAGATGATGACCTGGGTCTTTGCCGCGTTTATACGGATCTTCCAGCTGTTGAAATATTCCGACAGGACGTCCAGGCCTCTCTGAAGTTTGGCAGTCAGAGCTCCGATGACCCTACCCTTGTAGACGATGGATGTGTCATCTGCGAACAGAGACAACGATCCACCGTCAGGGAGAGCCGGCATATCGGAGGTGAACAGGTTGAATAAAATGGGGCCAAGGATGCTTTCTTGTGGAACCCCGGCACCGATGTTGAAAGCATCCGATGTGATGCCATTCAGAGAGACTCGGAACGCCCTGTCAGATAGATAGTTGTTTATTATCTTTTGGAAGATTATACCAACAATCAATACGAAACTAACGATTTTAAATTGGCTCACTACTTGACTAGCCTATTGGTCCCAAGCAAACGATTAACGTACCCCATTCTAGTCGAAATTCGCAATGTTTGTTTTGATTTGGTATGAAAGTTTGACAGATAACATGAGGGGTTATTGGTTTTTTCGAGGGGTGAATCGATTAGCTTGGGACCGAAGAGAGTA